AGGCTTGGAATTTTTCTCATCATTCATATGGTCTTATGGAACCCTCTGCGCAGAAGTACACTGGTGCAACTGTGATGGATGTCCCCTCTGGTCCTGCTTGGGCTCAGTTCTAAACGTATCATTTCTAATAAACTCTTCTAATAGATGGTGATTTGGCACCTCATCATCAAGCATTCTGTCCACACCAGAACCCAGTAACATGCCATGAGCTGTGTCTTAAAAAGGATATAATTATCTGCTGTAGAGAATTTTCTGCTTGAAACACGTCTTTTATTATTCCCTTTTAGTGAGGCTCTGCTCGTGATGAACTGTCAGTTTTTGTCTGAGAATGTTCTTTATTTGTCTTTGTCTGGAAAGAAATTTTTCAAAGTATGGGATTCCATTAGAAGTTTTTTCTTTCAGCACTTTGAGATATAATTCTACCATCTTCTGGTTTCCATTGTTGTTGTTGAGAAGTCAGTTTTCAGTCTTTTGCTCCCTTGAAGGTATAGGTAATCTCCTGGATTCAAGTTATGATGAACTGTGCTTATGACCATCTGTGTGTGTTTTTTTTTAACATCTTATCATTAGTAATATGCACTAATACAATGTTGCAGTGCATGATTTGCTGATGTTATCATTCTCAGATATTCACGCGCAGATGTTCAAAGACAAATAAAGGTTGGATTTATAAAGATACTGATAACAAAAGGCAATAATAATGAAAACTAAAAAAAGAAAAGAGGTATTTGACTTATGTCAGACCAACTTATGACAGAGTAGTTGCAACAGGACCCCGTTGTAAGTTGGGGACTAGCTGTAGTCTTTTTACTACCTGTTGCTGTTACTATTTTATCTTTGTTTTTGGCTCTATGAAGTTTTGTTCTGATACGCTTAGATGTGCATTTCTTTTTATTCACCTTACTTGGGTTTTATTCTGTTTCTTAAATCCATAAAATGGTGTCTTTATTAGTTTAGGAGAAATTTCCAGAGATTATCTTTTCAAATACTGCCTCTCCCCATTTCTCTCTTTTCCAGCTAGACCTTCTCGTTGTATTCTACACATCTTTCACATGCTGTTTTGTATTTTCCATCTTTTCTGGGACTGTGCTTTATTTTGTTTTTTTGTGGTATATATATGTAACAAAACATTTGCCATTTCAATGTTCTTCAAATGTACAATTCAGTGACATTAATTGTGTTCATCATGTGCAACCATCACCATTAGCCATTTCCAAAAATTTCATCACCCTTAACAGAAACTCAGTGTATCTAACCAATGAGTCACCTTTTCTCCTCCCTCTCACCTGCCCCTGGTAACCACTAATACACTTAGGTCTGTATATACTTTCCTATTCTAGATATTTCATATAAGGGGAATCATACAATATTTGTCCTTTTGTGACTGACTTATCTTCCAATTCATTAATTCTCTCTTCTGTCTGCCCTGTCTGCTGTCAAATACATCTACTGGTTTATTCTATTTATTGTATTTTACATTTCTTAAAGTTCTGATTGTCTCTTTTTCAAGTCTGCCACTTTTCATAGTTTGCTGTTCTAGGAAAATATTTTCATGTTTGTCATATGTTTCTTAAACAAGGTTAGACTAGTTTTAAGCCCTGCATACAGTAATTACAAAATCTGAAGTCTGTGCAGGTATCTTGTTTGTTTTGTTCATTTTCATGTGATTTTATTTACTTGTATGTCTGTAATCTTTGATTCTTGTGGTTTGTTGTCTTTGAAAAATGACTTGAGCGGCCCCCTCCTCTTTGCTTTTACGAGGCATATTAGGGGTGGAAATATTTTGGCCTACATTAAGCCAAATACAGTTTGAAAGCTCGTGGTTCATTCAAGCTAGGTATTCCCAGGTGCAAATCCTTGTGAGGACCTGTCAGTGGCCACAGCCTTCTAGTGATGGATTTTTTTTTTTTTTGATAGTTCCCTCTCCCACTTTGTTCAGTGCCAACACAGCCCACTACATGGTCCCCAGAAACTGAGGAGAGAAGAGGGTGAGCCTAGATTAGGTTTGCTTGCCCCCTCCCTATCCCAGTCAGTCTCTGAGCCCTGACCTCTTTCTTTTTGTACTGGTATGACTACAGTACAGATCATGGGTGTGTGCTATATCATCACAAGACATGAGAATGTGTAGCGACTTTAATTCCTTATTTCAGATTCTGATTTTGTAGGACTGGGGTGGGGTCTGAGATTTTGCATTCCTGACAAGTGGTGGATGATTCAGATGCTGCTCATTATGGACCACACTTTGAGTAACAAGGATGTACACAACAGGAACAATTCCATCTAATGACTGGGACACATGTGAACAACAGCCAAAAGAAATGGCATGAATTGTGCTATAGGAGTTGTGGAAGTGACCGTATTAGGCCTTGGCCTGAGTAGTAAATTATATATTTAGATGGACAAAGGGATGAAATATCAAGGGAGGTCTAGTCTGGCTAGCTGAAAAGAGTGGGGGGAGGCAGTATATCTAAACTTTATCTCTGTGAAGTTCTTCTTATGGGACACTCTTGCAGAGAGAGAAGTTTCCTTCATTGTATTTGGCTCACTGTCCATTCTCAGGAGCAACCAACCACCCCTTGGCTGTAAACGATAACACCTACATACTAGAGAGAGATAAATGCAGGCTATCTGATATCAATAAAATACCCCTCACCTCCTTTAATGGCAGTATGAAATAAGTGCCTAGGCCACATGGAACTCCAAATATCTAAGGGATAAAATGAGGAATCTGAAAGTACCCACATCTTATCTGCTTGTGGTCTTAATAAATTTGCATTAGTATACTCAATATCCATACCAATGTGTCCTGGCTGTTTGCTTCTTTGTACCTTATGGCAGGACCTTGGGCCCCTCTCTTTAATATATCCTAATGGATCTAGTCCTCTGTAGGGAGGGTGGTGGAGTGATTCATAGCCTTTGGACTTTCTTCTTGGATCATGGAAATAAAGTCATGCTAATGGACACCTAGGACAGCTCCTCCTCATAGACACAGCTTGATTTTGAATCCAAGATTTGGCTCAGAGACACCTGCTACACATTTAAGTACAGGCTCTTTGACTCCACATTCCTGAAGGGAATGCCTACCCAGGACAAGATTGTAATGGCCTTTTATATCCTACTTACAGTGAGAATCACTGAAAAGGGCATACAGTTCAAATAGGAGGGTATCCTCATGTGGCCAGGTAGGCTGATGAAGTAGCTAACTGATGAAGTGGCAGATCTGTTGGTAGTCATAGCAGAAGTTCTGGCATAAATAAAAAGGATGATTTGTTCTAAGTAGGAGGAACTTGGCAGTCAAAGCCCTTCAGGAAATGAATGAGAGAGACAAGACAGAGGGAAACCTGGGATCTGATGACAGACATAAGTGTCTTGCTATGTCAGTTGCACGAGGAATCTGTCACATACTGGGGGCTTTGCATACTCTTCTTTAACCCACATAACCAGCCAGCAAGGTAAAATTCCAGTTCATGGAGGAGTCCTCTGAAGACTCCAAGGGCCCACAGTCTGAAAGTTACAAAGCCTATTTTGAACACACATCTTCCGAATACAAGTCTCATGCTTTTGTACAAAGGTAGTAATGACTACTATCTTAGTTTGAATTCTCCCACAGGCAGACCCTGGGTGCAGGGAGCTCATTTAGGAGGTGATCCTAGGGAGCACAAGTAAGAAGCGAGGAAGTGAGACAGGGAAAGGAGGGAAGCCAGTAAAGGGAATGCTAATGAGCCAGTTAACTGGGGCTCCATCCCACTGGGGACCCTTTGAGAAACCCTGTGGAACATGCCCTGGCATTGTCTCACCAGAGTACAAAAAGCTGGGACATTTATCCACCTGTTCCTTCCTTCCTTGGTTGAGGTTGCCCTCTGAGGTTCAAGCCCTTGAGCTGTGAAGGTGACAGGTACTGAGAACTCTGAGGTGATAGGCCGGAGCATCAATAGCGTTGTCTTGGCTTCCCTTTGTGGAAGACCTAATGAGAGTCAGACACTGCTAGATCTAAGTACTGGTGCATCCGAGAGCCAGGCTGTCTTCCCCAGTTTATCAGGATAGTGATCTAGAGTCCACTGAGGGCCAGGGTGTCCAGGAGTCTACCTTGCCCCAATGAGGTTCTTTTGAGTGGTGAAGCAGCACACACAGTGGCTGTAAGAAGCTGAGGCAGGGCCTACTGGGGTCAGATTTTGCCTGGCTTGAGACTGGCAGAGAATATGTTGACTGTGGACCAAGAGTGATCAGAAGCTACAGAGATCTTAGAGGATTTGTCCACTCCTCAGTCTGCCTTTTCCCTATTGTGAGGTCCCACTCTTAGGAATATTCCAGGGTTTCATTTTGAGGAATCAGAGCCCAGTCATCAACCCCGGGACAGTCTCATAATGTTTCTTCTATCAAGCTAGGTGTGACCATTTCCTGGTTGTTTCTCCTAAATCCTTAGCATGCTCTTCTTCCTCTGGGTGTGTAGACAAGTCACAAATGTGCTGTGGTTGACATTTATTCACATCAAGCCTCGCTGGATCCTCTGCACCAGGAGCTAGTGAATAGCCGAGTGTTGGGCAGTCCCAGTCCCAGTGAAGCAGAACCTCCTTCCTTGTTCATGTGGTTAAAAGGCCTGGCCCTGTTAGAGCCTGTCAGAGCATGTGAGATTGATAGAAGCCCTAGTTTAAGCTGGCAGGGACACAGAGTCCTCTATAAAGACGCTGATGGCAGAGCTTTTAGCTGGGAAGTTGGCTGACTACTGATCTTCTCTTGCTTCTGGGTCTCTAGTCTTGGTGCTCCCTGTCATCTTAGGGCTCTGGGTCTAGGTCTGGATAGGATTCATAAGTACAGCTGCTTCTGCTGGTAGGTAAGCTGGCCCAAGAAGGTGAGGGAGCAAGGTGAGTTCTGGGGAGTGTAGATTCTGACTGGTGTCACTGTTGGGTGAGTCATTAGCCCTTCTCTTACCCAGGGCCAAATTGTGGCTTAGGACTGACTCAGATTTCTCTCGTGGGCCAGTCTGAAACAACACCACCATAATGGATAGAGACTTAGCGTCAGGTAATTATAAGCTCCGTATGGAAAGGGAAAAATTGAAACGGAAGGATATTCCATATTCTAGTCCTCACATATTTGCATTTTGATTTTCTCTACAGTGTTATCGCAGGAAGAACCTCTCTTGGGGAACATTCAGGATATTAGTCATCAGGTGTGGTTCCTTCAAGACCAGACCCTCACAGCAGTCCCAAGGAAGAACTGTGTGGTTCCAGGTGAGTGGCCGAGGTCTATTGGAGGCAGTCGCTTTGGCCAGTGCTGTCGTGTGTTTTGTGCTCAGGCTTTTATTTGGCAGTAAGCTTGTAACTGCCCCTTCCTGAAGAGAAAAGCTTCTCACGGACAACAACGAACTACAGGATAACCATAGGGTTGTTTGGTGATTATGGTCATAAAGTCAGAGAAGAGTCAAGGTGGTCCGACTGGGTAGCCTGTTGAAAATGGGAGAATATATTTCCTGTGAATCTTTGAGGAGAGGGACTAAGACAAAAAAGTAGATCTCAAGGCCAGCCAGTTTTGACTCCATCAAATGCTGATTTTCCTAATGGAAATAGATCTCCAAATGTGGGATATGTATCTGGGGAAGGTGGTGAGTGGCCGCTCTATGGGTGTCCATGAGTCGATTGCAGCCTCGATGGCCTGCTTCAGAGATGCTGCTGACACCTTTCTCTTTTCTCTATGTCATGTTCTCAGTCACTGTTACCTTAATCCCATGCAAATGTCCAGAGACTCTTGAGAAAGACAAAGGAAATCCCATTTACCTGGGACTGAAAGAGCCAGAGTTCTGCCTGTTCTGCACGAAGGTCAGGGAGCACCCCATGCTGCAGCTTGTGGTGAGTATGGAAAACAAGAATCTTGTCAAGGTCTGACTAGGAGAGAGGAACCCATTTAATTTACACAAAGCTCATCTGATAGAAACTCTAGATTTTAGAATCTTTTAAAAGACATTTACTATTCTCATGCATATTTATTTTTGGTTCTTTTTTGGGTTGCATATATTGTGAAAGAATAAGAAAAAATTGTGAGAGTATTTTGAAACTAACCTGCTCAATCCCTTTTTTACTTTATTTACAAAAATAATTTGGCAAGGAGGATTATATATATATATATATATATACATATATATAGTAAGACCAGCAAGGATATTTTTTAGCAGTTAATTATAAGGTGAATGAGCATAATAAAAAAATTTTGGGCAAAAATACTTTGCAATTTTAAGTAAAAATAATTCTTTGTAAGAAACATTTTGATAATTGCAGTCTACTGTTAAAAAATTTTACAAGTTATGTGACGATAACTGTTAAACCAGGCATCTGTATATTATAGGAACCGTCTTGGTCCTTTTCGGTAAACAAGCCTAGGCAGAAACTCAGTTTGATGACAAGACATAAAACAGTGATTCTTAACCTGGGGTGATTTTGCATCCCAGGCATCTGGCAATGAATGTCTGGAGACATTCTTGGTTGGCATAACATGAGGTTCAGTGGGGAGTGCTACGGGGTACAGGGATATTGCTAAACATCGTATAATGCACAAGAGGGACCCCGCACAGCAAATAAATAAACCAAAAATCAAACCAAACCCATTGCTGTTGAGTCATTTCTGACTTAGGTGGCCCAAAATGGCAATAGTGCTGAGACTGGAAAAATCTCACATAAAACAATTATAGTTTTAATTCAAGTTTTATTATAACTGTTATACATTCTCTGGGCTACTCAATTTCTAAGCAACTGCTAATGGCTAACTCAGAGCTTTGTATTCTCAAAACTTTTATGTCAACAACTTCTGACTTTATTAAGAACCATTGAAATTTGTGGCCTAAGGCTTCAACCATGATGTCAACGTATATAAAACTATTTGGGACTTATTATTTTAAATTCCACAGTATGAAATAGAAGTCTCCAGGCCAGCTGTAAGGAATGGGTAAGGCTATCTTGGACATAAAATGTCAGTGTATGAAGGAGGTTGAATAATTCAAGCAGTCATGTTTCTCCCTGGGTCTCCTTCCCACCCTTCAGGAACGGAACATAATGGATTTGTACTACCAAACTGAGCCTGTGAAGCCCTTCCTCTTCTACCACAGCCAGAGTGGCAGAACCTCCACCTTTGAGTCTGTGGCTTTCCCTGGCTGGTTCATCGCGGTTTGTTCCAAAGCAGGTTGCCCTGTCATCATTACCCAAGAATTAGGGAAAACCTACACCACTGATTTTGTTTTATCTCTACTGCACTAAGGTCAGTTTGGATTTGGAGGCTACTGTTAGATGCAGAGAATCTTGACTTTGTTTCCTCCATCCTGTTGATGCTTCTGAGATGAACACTATTATATTGACCCATACACTAAAGGGTGAATTATCTGAATTATTTCCAATTATCCAAGTAGAAACTAAGTTAGATGAATTTTAAGCAGTAAAATCTTAGCCCAGAATGGGAAGGGAGAATCTGTTGTTGGGCTTTTTACCCAAAGGTATCTTGCTGTCCCCACAATATATCCATAAACAATATTATATATGTATATATATATATATACATACATATAGATCACTGACCAGTTGTCATTGAGTCCATTCTGACTCATGTGACCCCAGGTATGTCAGAGTAGAACTGTGCTCCATAGGGGTTTCAATGGCTGATTTTTTGAACGTAGATTGCCAGACCTTTCTCATGAGGTACCTCTGAGTGAGCTTGAACCTCCAACATTTTGGTTAGCAGCTGAAAGCCTTAAGTGTTTGAACCACCCAGGAACTCCTAATATATCCATAGTAGTGACCTAAGTGCTGAGCCAGGCTCTGTGTCCTCTCCTTGGGTCCATGTAGAAAAAGATTTCACAGAAACTGAGCAACTTGCCATGACCATGTAGCTAATTAAAAAAAGAAAACTTAAAGAAAGTTCTACTTAAAATACCTTGCTAGTAATATCTCAAATAAGAAATGAGGATGATGACTCTTTCATTTTAAGTCCAGTCTCTGGATTTCAGATATGTTACTCTGTGGTATTATACCCTTCCTGTTGTATCAAGACCATTTGGATCCTGAGGGGAAGAAGCAGACATAGAAGTTCCATCAAAAAAGAAGACACCAGAAAGAAAGATATATCTCTCCTGGGTTTGACTTATGTCTCAGTGGAGTTAACACATTCTGGCACTGGTTTGACTGAAGAACTGCTGTTGTTTACGAATCTTTGACTTAAAACTTTATCAGTAGATCTCATGAAGAGTTAAATTTTTGAAATAAAAAAATTTTGTCCTCTCAGTTGCTCTGTTATGAATGGAAGGACTTTAGTGGAATATCAGGGTCATGGTATTGACTCACTGCATTTAGTTTTACAGTTAGTAAAGCAGATTCAAGGTGCGCCTGACCCAAGCCATGGTGTTTTCAATTGCCTCATATGCATGTGAAAGCTAGACAATGAATAAAGAAGACCAAAGAAGAATTGAGGCCTTTGAATTATGGTGTTGGTGAAGAATATTGAATATACCATGGACTGCCAAAAGAATGAACACATTTGTCTTAGAAGAAGTACAGCCAGAATGCTCCTTAGAAGCGAGGATGGTGAAACTTCGTCTCAGTTACTTTGGACGTGTTATCAGGAGGGACCAATCCCCGGAGAAGGTCATCCTGCTTGGTAAAGTAGAGGGTCAGTGAAAAAGAGGAAGACCCTCAACAAGATGGATTGACACAGTGGCTGCAACAGTGGGATCAAACATAGCGACAACTGTGGGGATGGCGCAGGATGAGGCAGTGTTTCGTTCTGTTGTATGTAGGGTCTCAATGAGTCAGAAACGACTCGATGACGCCTAACAACAACAACAAAAGCGGATTCACATGATGTCTCTCATTTCTAAAAAACCAGTAGGATTGTTGGCAAAAGTGGTATCTTCCTAAACTCTTGTTTCACCAGGCCTCACTACTGGGGTGGGTGGTATGAACAAGGAAAATATAAAAGCAAAAACTAAATAAAACAAAACTGAATCAACTGAAAAATGTACAAAAAATGACATGTTAAGTGCAGCATACCAATGATAATAAATGTGGATGGGTTAAATTTCAGAGAAAGACAACCAGATGACTCGTAAAACTACACGCGCGCGCGTGCACACACACACTAGGAAGCCTAGCTGTATGCCACTGCTGAGATAAATGTAAGGGAAAATAATCCAAAAAGACTGAAAATATAGGAATTGTACCAGGGATGGGAGGGGTGGGGGGGAAATACTAAATAGGCAATAGATAAGTGGCATCTTGGGTGAAGGGTGAGACGGTACACAATACAGGGGAAACCAGCACAACTTGTAAAAGAAAAGGTCATGGAAGCTCCCTAGACACATCCAAACTCCCTGAGGGACTGAATTGCTGGGTGGAGGACTGTTGGGACTATGGTCTCAGGAAACATCTAGCTCAGTTGGCATAACACAGTTTATAAAGACAATGTTCTACATTCTACCTTGATGGGTAGCGTCTGGGGTCTTAAAAGCCTGTGAGCAGCCATCTAAGATACTCCACTGGTCTCATCCCTTTGGGAGCAAGGGAGAATGAAGAGAACAGGATACAAAGAAAAGATTAGTCCGAAGGGCTAACGGACCACAGCTACCAAGGCCTCCACCGGACTGAGTCCAGTACAGCTAGATGGTGCCCGGCTACCACCACTGACTGCTGTGACCAGAATCACAACAGAGGGTTCTGGACAGAGCTGGAGAAGGATGTAGAACAAAATTCTAACTCACAAAAGAAAAGACCAGATATACTGGCCTAAAGGAGACTGGAGAAACCCCGGGAGTATGGCCCCCAGACACCCTTTTAGCTCAGTGGTAAAGTCATCTTCGAGGTTCACCATTCAGCCTGGGAGTGGACAGCCCGATAAAACCAAATAGGAGTAATGAGGTACAGCAGTCCAGTGACAAGGGCCAGCAGGCAGAAGGGGACAAGGAAGTTGGTGATAGGGAACCCAAGGTTGAGTAAGGATAGTGTTGATGTGTTGTGAGGTTATTAACCATTGTCATAGGGCAACATGTATACTAACTGTTAAATGAGAAACTATTTTGTTCTGTAAGCCTTCATCTAAAGTGAGAATAGCAGCACAATTGGAAGAGCGTAGTCGATGTCACTGAACTGTGCATGTAGAAATTTTTGAAATGGTGTATCTTTGGCTATGTATATTTTCACCAAAGAAAAAAAGTCGAGAAGGGAGAGGGTTGACATGTTGTGGGGTTGTTAACCAATGTCATAAAACAATATGTGTACTACTGTTTCATGAGAAACTATTTGTTCTGTAAGCCTTCACCTGAAGTACAATAAAAAAAAGAAAAAAAAAAATAGGAATTGATGAAGATCTGCCAGGCATATACTACCCGCCAAAAAAGCAGTTGAAAAGATCATGTGTCATGGACTCCAAGATGCCGTGGATTTAAGACACAAATTATTTATATATATAACTGCTAAGAAAGGAAGAAAAACAAAACAAAATAACTGTGAATAACACTGACACAATACTTTCTTAGACTTATTGGAAGAGTTCTTTTATAATTATTTAAACACATACTTTTTATAATTTGGAGCCCTGGTAGTGCAGTGGTTCAAGCACATGGCTACTAACCAAAAGGACAGGGGTTCAAATCCACCAGCATCTCTGCCGGAGAAGGATGTGGTCATCTGCTTCTGTAAAGATTTACAGCCTTGGAAGCCCTATGGGGCAGTTCTACTCTGTCCTATAGGGTTACTAGGAGTGGGAATTGACTCAATGGCAGTGGGTTTTTGGTTTATTTTATAATTCCGTAGTCTTTTTCATTGATAGTAAGGCAAGTGTAAGTGAGATGAGTTGGTTACAGTATTCCTAGAACTTCTTCACATTTTAAATATGATTCTGCTTAATCAGATTTTGATTCAGAGCCATCAATGCTTCTGTTTCCACATAACACCCTTTCTGTGCCAACAAGAGCACTAGTGAAGCAGAATTTTTTTAAACTAGGTTTCTGGGTGTTATTCCAAGCTGTTGGCCTTCATTTCACAGTTTTGATGCTGCTGCCTATTTTCCTTTTTGTTTGTTTTGTTTTGTTTTGCCTTATAGGATGAGTCAATGGAAGGTTTATCAATAAAATCCAGGATTCATATTCCCTCCACAAATAGTTTTTTGATGACTTGTTGAGTGAAACATCAAAGGGATTATGTTTGTCCAATTAATCAGCAAGAAAAACAAACGTCTTTGCACAGCAAAGGCAATGACAAACATGTCATGGCTATCACCTGGCTGACAGTAAGATGCTATCAAATGTAGTAAGAAGCATCCCAATTTTAGAGATGTTAAAAAGTGAAAAAATGTGTTTTAAAAATGATGAAATATTGGTATGTATGTCCAATGAAGAACTCAAGAAAAACACCAATAATGGGTCAAAGATGAATATTTCATCGGGATAAAAGTTATGGACCGACAAGAAGATACGACTGTTAAGAATTATTAGGCAACAAAAACTTAGAATCAAAGTAATTTCAGCAAATAATGTAAAAACAAAATAATGTGATAAAAACCACAATCATAGTGAGAAAATTTAATACTCCTCTCTCAGTAATAGATAAAGCAATTAACAAATTTCAATTTATATATAAACATATATTCTATATATAATATATTAATAATTATATTTATATATACACATTTATTATTTTCCTGACATTTGAATATGCTATACTCTACAGTATTGTATACTACATGCAAAAGTACTCACTGATGAGTTAATTTCTTATTAAATAATTGAGTAGCTGATGTTTTAATACAGAAATATTGGCATATTGCATAGATATTTAGGAATGTTTTGGTGATATATGGGCTGTTGATTGGGATTTTGTATGGACTAGGAAAGCATTATTATTTTCTCCATTTAATATAATGAAATATGTGATCTGTTATCTGAAATTTTGCTATCCAACATGGTTTCCAGAACAGAGGAGCCATTTTAGTTTCTGCTTTTTGAATTGCCCATTTATCTCATTTGCCCATTTTCTTTTCCTATTACTTTTGTATTCTTATCTTTTTCTTGTTGAATTGTAAAAGTTCTTTATATTTTAAATCTTAATTCATTATGGGTTTTAGATGTTGCAAATATCTTCTCTTGATCTGCCACCTGTTAACTTTTTTCTATGATGTCTTCAATAAGAAGAGATGATTTTCTTAAAAAAATTTATTGTGGTAGAATATATATAACAAAACTTTTGCCATTTCAACCATTTTTATGTGTATAATTCAGTGATATTAATTATATCACCACATAGTGCATCCATCATCACTATTCATTTCCAATTTTTTTCATTACGCTTAACAGAAGTGCAATATCCTTAAGCAGTAACTCTTCATTTCCTTCACCCACTTGCCTTTGGTAACGCCTAATAAACTAGTCCCTATGTATCTGCCTATTCTAGATATTTTATATGTGAGATCATGTAATATTTGTCTTTTTTGTGTCTCACTTATTTCACTCAGCAAGTTTTCACTGTTCATGCATGTCATATCACGTATCAGAACTTGATTTATTTTTATGGCTGAATGATATTCCATTAGATGAATATACCACATTTTGTTTATCCATTCATCTGTTGATATACACTTGAGTTGTTTGTGCTTTTGTCGGTTATTGTGAACAATGACGCAGTGAACATTGGTGCACAAGTATCCATTTGAGTCCCTGCTTTCAAGTCTTTTGAGTATATACTTAGGAATAAAATTTCTGGGCCCTATAATAATTCTATATTTAACTTTTTGAGGAACCACCAAAACTATTTTCTACAGCAACTGCACCATTTTACAATCTCACCAGCAATAAATAAGGGCTCCAATGTTGCCACATCCTCGTTAACACTTGTTATTTTGCATTTTTCTTATAAAAGCCACCCTAGTAGGTGTGAAGTGGTATCTCTTTGTGGTTTTGGTTTGCATTTCCCTAATGACTAATGACATTGAGCATCTTTTTGCGTGCTATTGTCCATTGGTATATCTGCTTTGGTGAAATGTCTGTTCAAGTACTTTGCCCATTTTTTCATTGAGTTGTTTGTCTTTTTGTTGTTGAGTTGCAGGAGTTCTTTATTATTCTGGATATTAAA